AATTATCTGCTTACTATATGAACTCTTTTTATTGGAAGCATTTAAGTAATCCTAATACAAGCAACTACATGTAATTGAAGATTATATTAAATTCTGCATACACAACCTATATTAGTTTTTAATTTACATTAGCTTGTTTTTTTCACATTCAATTCAAGTCTGTGTTTCCTGTATATCTTGAAATAAAATGAAATCTGTTTCATACACACACACACACACACACACACACACACAAACACATACACACGGGGCATAGTAGCACTAATTATTGTACTCCAATTCCAACTAAATCATATTCTCCTTAGAATTGATGGAATCACCTTCCTAATCCATGCTGTTAAAAATGAATTAACTTGTTCTGATATTTGAGGGAATATCTAATTATTTAATTATCTCCATTTTGTGAATAAAGCTGTAGTGAATTCCCTCCCCAGCATCTACATAATCTTCCTCGGGGATAAGCCTGATTTGAATGTACTGCATCTTCATACACACACATATGCACTCACACACATCATAGTGATATAATGTTACAAAGCAATTTTAATTAAAACTATTGAGAATATGTTGTTGTTGTATTTTAAACCCAGCTTCCTCTGAGAATGATATAAAATGTTGATGTGTATACTCTGTTGGGAGACCCAGTAAATGTTAGCTTTCAGTCATTTTCCTGAGACAATGCAAGAGTTCATCTGTAGTCCCTAGCTGGCCTCTTGTGGGAATAGAAATCCCATGCTCTTGGCTTGACATTAGAGCCATTTCCAAATGTTACCATGGTGATCACCTATGCAGTATTACTAACCCTTCTTACAACAGCTCAATTTGAGATTCAAGTTTCACGTTTCCATGATTATGGGAGGGTAATTATTTCATTACTCCAGGGAAGAAGATTTAGGAGGTAAATAGCTCTTCATTAAATCTTAAATGAATCTGGTCTTTTTAGAACACAGAAATGCCAAATATTAAAGTGATGAAATTCAAAAGAGTAGAACATGACTGGGAATTGAAAGAAAGTTCAATTTTGGTGTAGTAGCATCATAAATATTTTTCCTCGAGTGAAAACATGCTGCATAAAGTGTAAGTATATTGTGTCAATAATTCATGATTTAAAATAATTTCCATGTAAAATAAATGCACAGAAATATTTGTGTATATATTGGAATAGCAGTGCCTGTAGAGAGGGATTTTATGAACTGACCTTCTTTGGTGGCAGTGTCATATTTTCTAACATATGCTTTTGACGATTCATCTAAATATGAATTTCATTGTAAAATAAAGGATTTCAGTTTTACAAATAATCACTTTAGAAGAATTAATGTTTCCCTTATTTACTGTTGGTGTTTGAACATTCTGCAGTTGAAAATAAATATTAATGTGTAATATTTTCAACCTGTATTTTATTTTATGAAATGTCATGAGATAGCTGTGAATTAAAGATACTTGGAGCATATTTTAAATGTAGAATTAAACAGCGGTAGATGCCCTGGTATTTAGCTACTGGGTTTTAAACATAGTGCAGGAAGGATGCTATAATGTAGCTTCAATATCTAAACCATGACTCTACAGGAAGGGACCTTGAAATGATACAAACTTTTTAGGGCAAAAAAATTCGCTTACATATTTTGCATCATAAGTTAGGGCCACTGCAAGACAAACATTTCTAAGTACAACATGTCCTTTTTAAAGAGTTTTTTGTGTGTTGCCTGTGATGAAAAGCCTATTAACATTTAGAAGAGAATTAAAGATACATGAAGTAAAGATAATCCTACCTGTGATGGAGGGTGTGCAACTGCACGTTGCTGATTCGATTTTGATGAGAGACTTCATAGTTGTATCCTGCAGACTGATAGAAGGCAAGAAAGAATTCGGTCATTTTCATTTTCCCAGAGGCAAGTTCTGTTTTAAGCCCGTTCCTCCTTCCTAGGTCTTTAGTAGTTTCCAACACAGCATCTACCTGTAATTTGTGACTGTATCTTTTTCTTTTAGTTTAGTGGAAGAAAAATTAGTCAGAATTGATTGTTGGGAGGCTCACTGATTAAGTAATTAATTGAAAATTATTTATTCATTCATAACCCTCTGGAGAGGTGGGACAGGAAGGTTAAGAGGCTCAGAGTGGCTGTAGTCTGCAGTGCTACTTAGATTGTTATTTATATCTAATCTGTCACTGTCTCATCTGAGGCACTCTAGTTTGTGCCGCTCTCAGAGAATGAAGACTAGCAGAAGACAGGCACAAACAATAGCTGCTTGCCATTGAAAAAATCACCTGAGATACAGACACTCGATGCTTCTTACATTTTTTTAGATCTAAATCCCATGTCTTAGTACAAATAGACTGTTGAAAGTATTTCTGAATAGATACACCAACAAAGCCTCATTCTCTTCACTTCTTACTTTAAGTACCTTTCTAAGACTTGGTGGTGGACCAAGCTAAATCTTGCTGCAATGTGAAATAATCCTACAAAATTTATTTCTAACTGAGATACAGCTCTCTGTGATCCTGGGCAGCACTTTGGGACAACTCTCCTGCTTTGGGCAGCTTGGTGGGCTGGTCTTTGTCCTCTTGCAAAAGTGCTGTGCTGTGGCAGGTAGAGAAGAGAGACAGAGACAGAGAGACAAGACATAGAGAGAGAAAGAGAGAGATAGAGACAGACAGACAGAGACAGAGACAGACAGAGAGACAAGACAGAGAGAGACAGAGACAGAGAGACAGAGACAGGAGAAATGGGGTTGAGCATTTTGTTAGCTCAGCCTGGAAGTGCCGTGTGTCACCTTCACTCACATCTCATTTCAGGGAATTAGTATTCTTGGTCCCATCTGAGAACAGTGAGTTGGGGCCCAGGAAGGAAGTCAGAACTGATATTGGGAGTGCTGGGTGAGTAGCTCAAAAGGAAGTAGAAGAATCCTAGAAAGATCTTAAACCTTAGAAAGGCATTTCTTTATTTTCAAAAGCTAGTGTTGAATATCTTACTATGATATTCTTGTGTAACTTTTGTGTAGGGTGAAGCCTACAATGAGACCAAAGAAACAGCTCTCTGAAGAAGGGAGTGCCGAAGGGAATACTCAGTGCCGAGTAACTTCGAGATGAAAGGTGAGAGGAGTATGTTTGAAGGAAGGAAACCAAAACGTCATGCTTTGAAATTAAAAAAAAAAAAAATCTACCGAAAAGCATAGGACTTGACGATAAAGTACCATGAGAAGATTAACAATTCTGTTTATTCAGTGATCTTGGATTAATGACTACTGTCATGCCATGCAAGCAGAAGGATTTACTGAAATAATTCTTTAGTTTCACTTTACACTAACAACTCTATCAGCGACCCTAATTAATTGCCCAAAAACTGTTAATAACCATGTCATCATAGGCCATCATGTAAATGAGCTTTAAAAGGTAAAATCTGAAGAGCAATCTTACCATTCATTTATCTGAACTAATTATAATATAGGAATAATTCTCACAGCAGGTGAAAACAGAGAAAAAGGATGCTTTTGCAGGAAGCCAAAACATTTTAGATTTTGACATCAAAATTTTGGAAGAAAGAAAGAATTCCTTTTTTTTTTTTTTTGCAAAGGAGAGTGTTTCAAATTTGTTATTCTTGTTACAGCCACATTTTAAGTGAGATTTTTTTTTTAAAAAGAAAGTTATGGATGATGGTACTACTGGTTTTCAGTGGTGATGAAATGTAACTCATTCTATGTTAATTTTATGGAGAAGGGGCTGGGGATTTAGCTCAGCGGCAAAAGCGCCTGCCTGGCAAGCGCAAGGTCGTGAGTTCGGTTCCCGGTACCAGAAAAAAAAAAAAAAAAAAAAAAAAAAAAAAAAATTTTATGGAGAAATTATTTTCTTAATTGAGAAGACCTAGGATGTGTTACATTTCAGAATCTATGGATATTTATAATTTGATAGGCATTATATTAATACCATTATAATCTACAGCTATAATATAGAGAAATATACCATTTCTTACTAAGGCATCTTGGCATAGTTAAAGAATCAACAGAGGTTCACATCTCAATTCATACTTTTAGCTGTGTAAGTTTGAATTTGTTACCTGGAACCAGGGGTTGCAACATGAATAGGTGAAAGAACTAACATGGTATGGAAGAGACCTATATCAGCTCTTGACATATGGTAAATATTTGTCATAACCACTACTTTGATATTCTGTGGCATACGTCCTTTTAGTTTCGTCTTTCAATTTTAGCTGTTTATATTTTATTTTATTTAGTTATTGTTGCTTTTTAGGGAAAACTCTATTTAGAAACCGATTTTTCAAACCATATTAAAAGTGTTTCTAAAAATCTCAAAGAGGGGAAAGTACTTGAAAAATTTCAGAAAAGTTTCCATTAAAACTTTTCCCAAAATCAAGGGTGTTTTGAAATATCTTCATGTAGTGACATTAATATTTTAAAATTTTAATTTGCCATATATGAGAAAAGTCCCAGTCACCACAGATGGAAGAAAAGTTACATACTCTGATGATTTAGTGATTCTTGACAGTATACATGAAAGAATCTCATAAAGTTAGATAAAAGTAAAACTCATAAACTTTCCCCATTCTGACTTTGGATAGACGGACAAGTAGAACATCCTAGCCCACTGAAATTCATTTTGTTATTTTTAATAAAGTATCCACAGAGATTGCACTATGGTTTTTTTCTGCAAGATTTTGAGTTTATTTTTATTTTAATTAATAAACATTTTGGGAAAGCATAGATATTCTGATAACATTGTCCAACCCAACATCATATTTTATAAAGTGCTAATATTTGTGTTAAGATTAATTATTCAAAATTTGTAAATAAAGTACACCTGGATAGCTTTTCAGTTATCTTGTTTTACAGAGTCACTCAAGAATTATTTCATTTTACAGGGGAATGAACCTGTATTTATCTATTTGCTGCTTAATAACTTTTTTTTGGTACCAGAAGTCGAACTCGGGATCTTGCGCTTGCCAGGCAGGCGCTGTATCACTGAACCATCTCTCTGGCCCAAGGGCAAACTCCTGAACAGGAACACGAACCCTAGACCCTCAGATTAAAAGTCTGATGCTCTACCAGCTGAGCTATCCAGGCAATAATTGCTTATATTCTCACTCACAGGTTAACTTGTGTTTCTGGTAGCAAAGCTACTCCTTAATGTTATATTTTATATTTCTGTATATCTGTAAGACATTAATGGGTTTCAGACTTTAGTCTACAGACACCATAAATACATTTCAGCATTACTTTGCTTGATTATACATGTTTCAATTTTTCAAAATCTCCATTGAACCAGCTTTAGATCTTACTCATTTCCATATCATTAATAATATTTATAGTACTTATTCTGTTTAAATTAGAATCATGCTTTGATATTTTGAAAATGATACATTAGTCCCTCAATTATGAAGTCATTTTTTCATGAGATTGCATGATAGCTTTTAAAGTACAGCTTTCAAAGTTGAGAAGATGTCCTTCCCTAATTAGACTGATTCAAATCTGTGTTATTAAGAAGTTTTTATTAAGTATTATTACACGTTTGTAGCAAGAGTATCAGCATGTTCATTAAGAATATACTCAGTTAGGAAGTAACATATCAAAACTTTCTCCTTGGAGCATTCCCACATTTAAACATTTTTGGAAGATTGAAATTAACACAAAAAAGCTAAGTAAAACAATTTTCTATGCTTTGCAGTCATAAGATGTGGCATGATACCTATGTGATTGTTTATTGTTTAGGTTAAGTGGTATTTTTTAAAACATCATTTTAATCAAAACCGTATAGATAATAATGTTTCCAAGCTTGAAGTTTGCAATACCTATAAATATGATTTAGGAAATCAGGTAAGATGAGGTGTAAAAGAGTGATAAGCAGACCAATCATTTTATTTTTCCAGTTCTTTATACGTATTTCTCTTCTTATATACAGTTTTTTGGTATCAGTCTGGGACCAAGCAAAAAAAGAAAGTCTGTTGTACAAGAAAGATTTGATAATGAGAATAAAAGGATCATTCATAAAGGTGTAAGTATGGTATATGGGAAACTACAAGCTAGTGTAGCCTGTGGCAGCAGAGTTTGCTATGTGGTGAGGTTTCTAGTAGGTGCTGTGATCCTCTGGGGAGGGGGCTGGCCTAACAGGAGAAACTGTAGGAATAAATATCATGAGCTACTCTCTTTCTATTTCCATCTCTAGTGACTACTCTCAACTGGCTAAATCTGCCCAGAAACTAGAAAATGAAGATTGCATGACTACAATCCATATTTGTATGCTTCCTAGGGCACAGAATAGATTGGAAATAGAAGAATATGGATGATGTCCTTTTCCACTGAGATATACCCAGTGGGCATGGCAGTTACAAGAATATAGTATAGAAGAGGCCAGAACTTAGAAGGCAGGATCAGATATTCGTGCAGTGGACACTTGCAAGCCGAAGGAACATTTAGTATTAAATGAGAGCACTGCTTATCCAGACGGGGGAATCAGGCCTGGAGTGCAATGTCAGTAAATTCAGGAAAAATGTACATAGATTCCGTGAGTATGGGGTGCTGAATTAGCATTCTAAAAACAACTCACCCGGTGGCAAAGAGGAGAGAGAAAATCCCTTTAACTTCCTAGTTACATATTTTTTCATGTGTAGAATTAGAGAGTTGGAGTAAACTGAAAGCTTTATCAAAGTGGAAAAATAAAAAAAGCAAACAAACTTTCTCATTACTTTTTATATTGCTTTACTTCTAAGTGTTGCTTTTTTTTCCAGAAGAGCAACTAAAACAGCATCTTTTGTGTCTTTATATTATTATTTATCAATGCATTCTGCCTAAAGGAGGCAATCAACACCAGATTATTAGGGTCACTTTAATCAGAGCTATAACGGTTTATCCTACTCTATGAAGTTGATATTTACTCTCTATGTAATGAGGAAGCAAGAAGTGATAAAATGGTCAGCTGCAAGAATTAAGCATTTATATCCAAGTTGGGGAGGATCTTTATTTTAATTAGACATTCCTCTCAAGTATAAAGGAAAAGGTAAGTTAGTGTCTCTATTACAAAAAAAGCAACTCAAGGTTAAGTGATTTGAATGCTTCATAGTTGACCCAGAGACAGAATGAAGGTGTTGGTATTTAACTGAAGATTGGGTGCATTAGTAGCCTTGGGGCCTAGAAGGCCCTTTCTGAATTCTGATTCTGAGGTTGGTAGGTGTAGCCTGACTGTCACTGTCAAGTGTGTGCTTGCCTTGCCCTCCAGCTTGAAGGTCTCTGCTGATTACTGGCAGCTGGAAGTTGTCCTGAAGGAGAATGAGGCCTCTTGACTAACCCTCACACACAGTATCAACATATTATTGATTAATTATTAGTGTATTATATTTCATTTCCTGGCAACAGGAGTGAGTTAGAGACAAGTGTGACTTTTTCAAGACAAATGCAATTCACTGAACATCTAAGATGGGTAACTGATATATTTTTTTCTGGTAAAATACTTTTACTATATAGAATGCTGAAAATATTTCTTTTCTCTAAAGAACTGTAGAGTTTACTCCATTTCAACAAGTGAAAAGTAACATGCCTTATCAATTATCTACACTTTTAGTTACATAAGCAGTAGGTAAACAAGTCCCCTCAGTTTGAATGTGTTAGACATTAAGAATGTTACTATAAAATTTTCACTTATATCATTGTTAGATATATATCTTTAAAGAGACATGTAAATATTTATTAAATTAATAAACAATTCATTTACTGAGAAATACTTAACAGAAATTAAGACCCACACAAGTTGCAGTTTAGATTCGAAGTTCACAAAGAGTAGAAGAGGAAGGCATAGGAACCAAATATATGCTTAGTCCTTGAAGTATATGCAAAGCAATGAAGGCTACTCAATTTTTTCTTGTCTTTTGTTTGTGGTGCTAGGGATCAAACTCAGGGCCTTTGAACTGAGCTACATTTTTAGTCCTATTTATTTATTTAATTTTGAGACAGGGTCTCTTCCTAAGTCCATAAATTGCCCAGACGGGACTCAAACTTTTGATCTTTTTACCTGTATTCAACACCATGCTTGGTTGATTCTTATTTCTTATGGTTTATGTTAAGAGAATGTCCTGACTGTGTTAGGGTTTGGGAAAGGAGGAGGAATTCTGCAACATGAAGAAATTTTTTTTAAAAAATTACCAGGGCAAAGGAAACAGTTTATAAAATAAAACAACAAAATTTCTTTTGGATCCTGTAGGTAGTTGTTTTGGAAGCATATGTTTCAAAGCAGAAGTAAGAGATATTAAGCTGGAGGGGCTGGGGATTTAGCTCAGCGGCAAAAGCGCCTGCCTGGCAAGCACAAGGTCGTGAGTTCGGTTCCTGGTACCGGAGAAAAAACCAAAAAAAAAAAAAAAAAAAAAAGAGATATTAAGCTGGAAACATAGATAAGTGGCAGATTTTTGAGAGTCTGTCTTATATAAAAGGCAGGTAGGATTTTAGTTCAGCAGGCAATTGCATTCTGAGCAGTAGAACTGTGTTAAAAATCACAGTTAGAGCTAAGGACAAGAGCCATGCGGTTAAATAGTTGAGAATTCTGAGTGGTGGCCATGGAAATGAAGAAATAGACGCAGTGTATATCTAGGAGAAATAACCAAAGCAACTTGGTTCAAATTGAATGTTGGGGAAAAAAGATTGTGAGAATAGCTTCCAAAATTCTCTCTTGTCTTTGTTCTCTTTGACTCCAGTAGAAGACAACAGCAGAAAAATAAAACTGTGATAGGAAACAGAGCCAAGAGATGATATACCAAAGCAGGAACAATTGGCAGAGTTTTGGCCTTGGCTTCAAGGTGTGAGAATCTAGTAAATAACTAGTTGGGTCTAACATCTGACAGTGAAGGGTAGGAACTGAGATAGGCAATGTAAACCCCAAGCACAGGCAAAAATGGTAACAATACGCATTATTCTACTATAGTAAGGGTGCTATCTCACGGAACAGGCCCACAACTATGTAGGTAAAACCAGAAGGTAATCATTTGCAATTTCTCCTATTTAAATCTATTCTTAGTAATCACCTCTTTGTATCATGCTGTACCAGTCATATTTTCCTTTGAAAAGTAAGACTACAAGTACCTAATTACTGGCCATGATGCTCTTGTTAGGATAGTTACTATTTCCTACCTAGAAAGGCTTTATTTTGATATAATTTTAGACTTTTATAGGTTGAAACTTATCAGAGAGCATTTTGCATACTATTCACATAAGTTTTCTTCAATGTCACATTCCTAGACTGCAGTAGCAAAATTATTAAACCAGGCGACTGACATTGCTATAATATTATTAATTATGCTACAGACCCTATTCAGTTTTCACTAGTTTTTATATGAACTTATGGAGTTGCTGTTTTGGTATAAAGTCCCATGAAATTTTAATATTTATTGATTTATGCAGCAACCATCATAATGAAGATACAAAATGGTTCTACCACACAGAAATTTATGGTCATTCTTACTCCTATTTTATTCTCTACAGTCAGTCATCTCTTCTATATCTTTGTAGTTTTGTCATTTGGAGAATGATATAGAAATGGAATAATGTAGTATGTAACTTTTAAAAAGAAATTTCCATTACTTAACATAATGCCTTTGAATTCATCCAAGTTGTTATAGTATCAGTTGCCATATCTTTTTAATGAAAAGTTAAATCTACTTGAAAAGCTTGTCTCTTGTATGCAATTACTTGGAGATTCTGGTTAGTACAGTTAGACAGGATTAATAAGTGGTTACGCTTCTCGTGTCTCTTAGATTGAAATTTAACCATAATATATTCACATGCAAAGAGTCACGGAAATCAGCACAAAGTAATAGCCAAACTGTTATCAAATGGACACTTTATATAGAAGCCAAAAAAGCAAGTAGGTAGAGCCGATTCCCTTCCTCATAATGCACATGCCTTTGAGGTGGTGATGAGTCAGGACCTGAGATGCCCATGATTATAGGGGGAAGAGAAGCTCAAAGAAGAACATGTATGTGTTATGGCACTGTCTATCTGCACTGTGTAGTGACTTGGTGGTCTCTCAGTGGTCCCCAGGGGAAAACAGTGAAGGGATTTAGAAAATAAAGACAAGAGACAAA